AGATGATGTCAGCCAAGCGCCTACGCGTTCCAGTTTACGGACATCGAGTTACGGATAAACAGTGTCGATCAGTCCACAGGCCCGTAGTGCAAACAGAAGCCGTGTGATTCGACGAACGAGAACGGGGATTGGTTGATATTCGTTTGACCAATGAAGTCTCCATTTTCACATAATTTAATCCCATTGGTTTCTCGCAATGTATGAACCGCTACTTCTGCGACCATTTTTCTTGCGTCTCCGTGACGGGAGATTTCCGCGTGCTATTGCTAGTGTCTCAGTTGTCACCTTGATCATTAATCCATAGTCCGAACCCACTTCAACTAATACAAACCGGTCTCGTTTTCTTCAGCAGTCGTTTGTCTTCTTAGGCCACTAATTCACCCTTACTGATTATCTTCACCATCCTCCTTAGAGACCCTTGTTGTTCACCGCTTTGGCAGCCCGAATCTCCGCCAAAATTGATTACCTTCAACCAGTTTGAAATCTTTGCGCCACAGAGGGCTTTGATGACATCACTTAGCGGCCTAGACTGAATTGGTAGTTTCCTCAGTCTTGGACAGTTGTCATATACCACAACACCGCTGCGTAAATCTACAGTCAGGAGGGGTGGTTTGTGTTAATTTTGCATGGTGTTTGGGTGCGCGCCATCGATTGCACTTCTCAAGTCCTTCAGCGGAAATTCCCGCAGTGAGCTATCGTCTGATCAGATGATACAAGAATATCGGCTTATTTTGTGCCTCCCGCTTAACTGAGCACTTAGCTCGTCTGTTTTCAATCGCAGTCGCTTGCTAAGACCAAATTGCACATTCGATGCACAATATTGTTCGCGGTTCGTAACCCAACACAAGAAAGCATACTGATGAGAACCGGGTTAACTGTTTAATGAATAATCGTGAGAATAAATCAATCGTTCAAACGATGGCCTAATTTTAGGTTGAGTTGGCTCACAGACAAACCGGCCTCGAACGGGATTGGTTAGTATGTCTGTCACGTGATTAGACGATCAATGATAAAGATGCACGAAAGCCTGCGTGGCACCGCTTTTGATAGATTTATAACCGTTCTGATCATAGTCTGAGTGGGACGTAGTACTGTTTCGACGCTTTTCATTTGCCCACCCGAAACATTTCTTTACAAAGCGCAAATCACGTTCAGATCAAATGTTCCCTTCCCATTCAATCTCCTGTTGGTATGATTCCTGTGCGACCGCGTCTGGGATCAGAACACAATTGAACGTTTGCACAAACCAAATGGAACTGCACCAAAGATGCATTTGATTGTTCACCAATGACTAACGATCTTAACAGCATTCTTTCATCATTGTCTTCCTGTAGGCCGAACGAAAACTGCTCCGTCGAAAAATTGACGAACAGAATGCGGAACTTACACGCTTGCAACAGGAGCTCGACTACATGACCGATCAAACCCGTGAACGAAACGTTTCGTCCAAAGAAATCATCAAGCAGTTGGAACAGAAATTGGAAAAATCCAGTAGGTGAACGATCTCTCTTTCTCTGTCATTTTGCCCGGGGTTTGTGCAACACACACGTGTAGAAACATATGTTTCAGTTTTTTTTCAGTTTTTACAACCAATAACCATGCACTTTCGTATGTATCACGGTCAAAATGTTTTTTTTTTGAGGTCACTCGTTTTTCCCAAGTATTTTCCATAGAACTGCACCACAAAAATAACCATTGCGTCTTCTCAAAGTATTCTCCACCTCCAGCGTTCATGTACAGTTCCATGTGCGCAAACCATTTGGTCAAAACATCTGGACCATACCTAATCGTCTAACCTTTCGACCAGTTTGATAAAGATCACCACCGCAGCTGTTGGTGACCGGTATCGGATTCCATGCATCATGCGCTTGACATTTGGCAGCACAATGCCTCTTGAAGAAGCGTCATCACCAAAAGACAGCTCGCAAGCGATCGACACTCTGCTGCTGCTGCCGCTGCTTTAAACCACATTTGTAGTCTTCGCCATCCAAAAAACATCGACTGAGTTCCATCCTTACAACAGTCCGACTGTATAGTGACCCTCGTATGACTTATGAACTGTGCTCCCGGCTGTGTTGTGAGTTTTGGTTCCGTGTGAGTTGTAATCACTGAATAATATCCACAATAGTAGATTACAGTTCACGTTTTCTTTCCCCGGTCATTTGCACCTCGTACTCGTCGTGTACTGACTGCGTGTATCGGGAACCTCGTTTTGCTCAGCCCTCATATGTTGAAATGCTGAATACTTTTCCCGCGGCACACAGAATAAATTGATCTAACTTGGATGGAATGATGAGTAAAACATATAACACTCTAAAGGAGTGAGTGAATAAGTGCTTAATGCTCTGAAGGTCATGATATCATTAATGCTGTTCTGTGGACCACTGTCAACGGGATTAGACTTATGCCACCAATAGCGCCAAGCTATCAGTCACGAGACGCAAGCACTGATGTTACCTATTACCTTTTCATCGGTTGTGGTAAGATCCATATTTCTAAACTGAACAACATCTCGTGATAGTACAATATGGGCATTAGGAAAACGGGATGAATTTTGGTTGACCGAGAGGCTGGACGGAACGGTGAATGGATTGCAATAAGCATAAACCGCTCAGGGACTGGGGTGAACCACTTTCTAGCCGATGCGGTATCGAGTAAATCAGGCAGACTCACAACCAAAATGATGTCTATCACAAGCAAAAGCACATTGTTGATTACAACTTCCAGTCAGACCACACGTGTAATGCAGTTAAAATGTTCTCCTAATCTTGATTTATGCTTTAGAAAAACGAAAATAACGACAGTTCCAAACCGCTCTCCCGTTTTAAATTCACCGAGATGCGGAAAACACCCTAATCGATGTCCAGTTAATGATGCAACGCAGTGCCCAGTGGTAAGATGAACACTTGGCTTGTAACGATAAAAATCGGCGAAAATTTTAGTCGATGAGGAAAACTGTTCAAAGTGTATGACCTGGATCGTTCGGTATAGTGCTTGTCTGACTTTCGGATAGAGGAATGAATACAGCACACATGAGTCTTCAGAAGAAGCTCAGTTATCGGTTCTTTTTTTTTTGAGAATCATCGGTAAGCTTGTTAGGTGAACCAGATGGGGAGGGGGGGAAGAACAGGAACATGTGGCAGAATTTTCAACAATGAACCTCTTTGCATTCGCTTTGGAGACAGAATAAACAAGTTCAGTTTTCAATTTGCCCAATCCAACAATCACATCAAGTCAACATAATCTTTATGCACCCAATAAGGCAGCTTTCTAACAGTTTGGACAAGTGATACTAAAGAAAACGTGTACGCAAAACGATTAAGAAGTGATTGCTTGGGATAGGTGATTTGGAGGAAGTCAGTACTGATGGTTGACCGATTTACGTGTCAGAGCGCTTGCTTGTGTTAGAACAACGTTCAACTACTCGACTGGTCATCTTTCAAGGCCCCCTTTTTAAATCAATTAAAGATGTTTAAGAGATCATGGTACAGCATGCATATAGCTGGGAAAAGCTTTTTCCATGCGACGACTGAGCCGAAAAACGCGACTGATGAAGGATGGACGAAATTTAAATGGTTTTGTTTTGCACTCTTTAATCAGTAGCATAATGAGACGTTATACAATACTATCTACAGAAATTTTATTTCTTGAAATGCAATCATTTTCGCCATCCTTCTGAACTGGCCTGAAAGAGCATTTCGCATTCCGCTTCATGGCTCTCTAAGCAATATTCAAAGTTCCGTGCAATCAAAGCCGAATTAATTTAGAGTATCAAGCTTGGATTAGACCATTCGACTTTTCAGAGGCACCAGGCACTCTTGATGGTCAAATTATTCCAGAAATCTTGTGACTAAATTTGCTTCACGACAGACGTACGAAATTTCAAGGTTCTGATTAAAAGAGCCACAGAAATATATGTGGAAATACTTCAAGGGAAAACCTGTGACCCAAAAATAAAAGGGCTGACGCACAATGAGATTTTAGAAACGATTGAGCCATTGTCAAATACCGGTCTGAGCGCACGATTGATCGATCAACAGTTTTTCATTTGAAATGTATACCATTGGCTACTGACTCCTCTAAAGTAATTAGTTGCATAATGTGAATCTTTGAGCTGGCATCCTGCCGTTAGACACAACATACCCTCGTAGAGTNTTCTCAGAAGTATTTCCTTTTGAGCATCAAACATCCGTCTACTTTCCGATTAATTTTCTGTGAAATCATTTTCACCCATCACGGTTGGAATAAGTTACGACAAACATTCAGTAGCAATTTATTTTCATAGGACGGAATTCACCATTAATTGTTCTCCGTATGCCCTAGTTTTCGGCAGTTGGCTTCATTTCCATGCTATGAATAAAGCGCAGAATTATGTTCAATGTTCAATGTTCTTCAATTAGAGGCAGAGGGTAATTTCCC